AATGAGACTGCGTCTCAAAAAACAAACAAAAATCTTCTAATACTTATGTTAAAAAAAGTAAAGCGAAGAGGCCAAGGTGGGAGGATCGCTTGAGACCAAGAGTTCAAGACTAGCCTGGGGAAAATAGTGAGAACCTCCCTCCCCTGCTGCCCCATTTCTACAGAAAATAAAAACATTAATGGGGCATGGTGCATGCATCCGTAGTCCCAGCTACTCAGGAGGCTGAGGTGGGAGGATTGCTTGAATGCAGGAGTTCAGGGCTGCAGTGAGCTATGATCCTGTCACTACACTTCAGCCTGGGCAACACAGTGAGATCCTGTCTCAAAAAAAAGAAAGGTAAAACGAAGCTAGGTGTGGTGGCAGGGACGTGTAGTTTTAGCTACTCAGGAGGCTGAGGTGGAAAGATCATTTGAGTCTAGGAGTTAGAGGCTGCCATGGGCTGTAGTTGTGCCTGTGACTAGTAACTGCAGTCCAGCCTGGGCAAACATAGTGAGACCCCCATCTCTTAACAAAAAAAGTAAAATAAGAGGAAATTAATATATTTTACTTAATATATTCAAATATTCAAAGTATTATTTGAATATGTAAATGTAAAAATTCACTAATGAGGTCTTTTACATTTTTTGGGCACTAAGTTTTCAAAATCCAGTGTGTAGTTTACTCTTAGAGCACATCTGAGTGTGGCTCATGGCTACCATATTGGGTGGAACAGCTCTAGGGCACAGATTGTGCTACTGATGAAGTCCCACCTTGAGGTGCTGGGACCGGCCTTTTGAATGCAGTGTTAGCCCTTGGCCAGGCAGGGTGGGGGTAGCTCTCAGGCTTGATGGAGAGCTGTATAGTTGAGGAACACGGTCGAGATGAGGGAGCAGGTGTGAGCCATTAGTTGTCAACACAGTAGCTAGAGAGGATCTGAGTGGCCTCTGACAACATCTGCTACAGCCGGATGGGGAAGAATGGCCTGGCTGAAGAGTCAAGGGTGGGATGATGAAGTTCTAGAGTTGACATGTATAGTTTCCTGGTGCTTGAGCTTAGTACAGAGGCAGAGCCCAGAGAATCTTGAGTCTTGAACATCTCTCTCAAATATTAGGTGTTCAGCTTGGCTTTTGGCAGACACTGAAGACTGGAATGGTCTCTGAGATCCTGAAGACTAAATAGTCTATTTGCAAGAAAAGCTGTGCTTCCAGGAAAAAGCCAGACTTAAATCAAGTGTCTTCAGTGAAAGGCATGTGCTCACAAGGCCCCTTGGTTTCTGTTATACAATGCACGATGAAATACTCAACAGATGCTTCCAAACTCTGTGTCGTAATACATAGATAAGACCTTCACCTGGAATTTTAGAGATGAAGCAAGATGAAGTAAACTAATGTTTACTTTGACCTTGGTGAGACCATTTTATAGCTCCATTAACCCAGTTTTGAGGACAGTTTCTTCTTTGAAGCAGAATGCATTCTAATAATGCATTTATCTGATAATGAGTTATTTAGTATTATTCACCTGAATGCTACTGTGGGTGAGTTAACAGTAGTTTTGGTTTTGGCAGAACTGGTGTTTAGATTGTTCTTTAAGATATTTGCTAGTGGATTTACCAGTTTTAACTGCCACGTGAGGCCACATCATGCTTAGTATTTTTTTTTTTTTTTTTTTTTTTTGAGACAGAGTCTCACTGTGTCACCCAGGCTGGAGTGCAGTGGCACAATCTTGGCTCACTGCAACCTCCGCCTCCTGGGTTCATGCCATTCTCCTGCCTCAGCCTCCCGAGTAGCTGGGATTATAGGCGCCCGCCACCACACCCGGCTAATTTTTTTTTTTTTTTGTATTTTTAGTAGAGACGGGGTTTCACTGTGTTAGCCAGGATGGTCTTGATCTCCTGACCTTGTGATCTACCTGCCTTGGCCTCCCAAAGTGCTGGGATTACAGGCGTGAGCCACCGCGCCTGGACGGTGTTATCTAATCTTAAGAAAGGATAGTTGTTTCCCTGTTTGCAGTGACTGGAAGGCACGCATCCAGTTTGTCTAAAAGCCTACCATTTCCCCCCATTTTTGTCTAAGTTATTGTGTGCTGATGATAATATATGCAAGACTGTGCTAGCCATGTTAGACATTCTCATTTAATCCTCATAGCAGCATTGTGATCTAGATAAGTACTATTATTATCCCCAGTGTACAAATGAAGAAACTTTCTATATGTCTAGGAAATGTCAGAGTCAAGATTTGAATCCAGGTCAGAATCTGAGTCTAGACCAGGACTCTTCTTGACTATATTATTATCTAATGGTAACTCCCAAGTGGTTCTGATATGGTTTTAAGAAAGAAGGTGACAGCTGCATATTTTGATTTAGTTTTCATGTAAAACCTTACATTTTTTGGCACTTTACTGTTTATAAAAACTCATTTGATCCTTTTAATAACTCCCTAGGAAATCAGGGAGGTGTCATCACCTACATTTTGTAGATGGAAACGGGGGCCCAGAGAAATGATTAGCTCAATGAGTCATAGCTGAGAGTTGACCCAAGTCTTGTGACTCTGAGGGTCAATGCCACTTCCCATGTGCCAAACCATTTGCAGGCATTTCTTTTCTATGTGTGGAAAATATAGGAAATCGTTATTCCTGTGGGAGAGAACCAATGGCAATATGTTATTGGGGAGTCATTTTGCACATCCTGACCTTTCTCCTTTTGGCTGTGATTAGCTAAATAGTCTTTATAAATAGAATTGATTAAAGTTCTTTCTCAGAACCTTTATTGCTAGGAAATACCTTACAAAGAATTTTGGACTGGGCATGTAGCCAGTTTGTTACATGCTTAACAAAAACAACAAACGTTAAAATTGTGTAGAGGTCCAAATTAGCAGACTTCTACAAACGTTTTCCTGCATTTAGAACATAAATTTTATGTTGTGGCTTTACACAAATTGTCTGAGTGTTGACCTGATTCTTCATTTTTGACCTTCCATGAATGTCTCCCAGGAGTAAACAGGAACAGAGCCTTTGTGGGGCTGACTCCAAACCAGTTGAGACTTGTCGTGGGAATGGTTCACACTGGTAGTTGTTCTGTCATAGTTGTGTTTGCTTGTACGAGTTCTACTTCTTTTTTTTCTGAGATGGAGTTTCGCTCTTTTTGCCCAGGCTGGAGTGCAACGGCACAATCTCGGCTCACTGCAACCTCCGCCTCCTGGGTTCAGCCATCCAACTAGCTGGGATTACGGGTGTGCACCACCACTCTCAGCTAATTTTGTATTTTTAGTAGAGATGGGGTTTCTTTATGTTGGTCAGGCTGGTCTCGAACTCCCGACCTCAAGCGATCTGCCCGCCTTGGCCTCCCAAAGTGCTGGGATTACAGGCGTGAGCCACTGCGCCCAACCCGAGTTCTACTTCTGGTTGCTGTCTAACCGGGAGGCATCAATGCTTTTTACAGCTGTGGGCCGCATTATTACAAGTTCACATGTGTGCAAGCTCTGTAGAACAACATCATGTCTTTGAGTAGATATTAGTGTTTATGTGGGACTCGCCACTGTTTTTCTTATCTAAAAATAAAAAACTTCAGAAAGCTCTTGACCAATCTGTGGTTAAATCTTGTAACCATTACAGCATCAGCCTGTGACCTTTGAAAAATTAAAGTTCTTGGGACTCAACTTTGTCATAAACTTGGGGATAATGCTCTTTGAACTCACAGTTATGCTTGAAGGAATATATGAGAGATAGTCTTGATCTTTAATAGGGACACAGTAATAATTTCCCATTCATAGTTCCTTGCTGTTCCTAGTCTTTTACTTGGTAAAGGTTTTATTTTATAAACTATATCTTTTTGTATCTTTTACCTCCACTTTTGTATAGAGATTACTATTCATTCATTCATTCATTCATTCATTCATTCATTCATTCATCCTGATGAGTTTCGCTCTTGTTGCCCAGGCTGGAGTGCAGTGGCACGATCTCAGCTCACTGCAACCTCCACCTCCTGGGTTCAAGCAATTCTCCTACCTCAGCCTCCTTAGTAGCTGGGACTACAGGTGTGTGCCACCATGCCCCACTAATTTTTTTTTTTTTTGTATTTTTAGTAGAGACGGGGTTTCGCCATTTTGGCCAGTCTGGCTGCAAACTCCTGACCTCAGGTGATACACCTGCCTTGGCCTCCCAAAGTGCTAGGATTACAGGCATGAGCCATGGTGCCCGACTCTTTAAAAACTAGTTGTACAATTTTTTCAGTTCATTTACAAATGTTGCTATAAAAACATTTTGTTTCTTATTTGAGTTGCTATCCTCTTAGAAAGTTCTAAGGGGTCTTGCTTTGTTGCCCAGGCTGGAGTACAGTGGTGTGATCTTGGCTCACTGCAGCCTCAAACTCCCGAGCTCAAGTAGTACTCCCACCTCTGCCTCCTGAGTAGCTGGGATTCCAGGCGTGTATCACTATGCCTGGCTTAGTCACTTAATGTTCTTAAGTATTAAAGCATTAAAATATGCTTTCTTCACAAACAGTTCAATGAATGAGAAATATCCTTGATTAATGGTTTTGCTTTTTCATATTTATCAGCCAAACCACTTTTGTACCAGAAAATGTAAAATAAGAAATCGGGCTGATGACATCAGCAAATATAAAAATAATATTTTATTTTGTTCTGGCCACTGTTAAATTGGAAGCTCCCTGAGACCAAGACTCTTGTTTTGTGTTTTGAAAAGTTCTTTGTGGTCTGTGACATTTCTGACCCTGCTCTATCCTTTTGCGTGATCTGAAAGGCTTTCCTCAGATTTGCTTGGCCCATCGACAATTCTTGTTTTGCTTTTCTGGAGATTGTTTTGATGCTTTTGGTTTCTCTTACATGCCGACGGGCTGTGTCTGTAGATAGATTTCCCTTCCATAATTATAATTATGGTGTATTGGCTAGAACTACTATTTATTGATCAAACACTTTCGCTAGAACCCAACTGGAAGAAATATCCTGAAAAAATGTTCAAAAGCCCGTCAAATATTTGCAATTTATTTTGCTTTTCTTTTTTTGTAGCATGTTCCGCACTATTCAAGACAGTGCTTAATGGTGTCCCGTAATATTGGTTCAGTGGGATATGATCCTAATGAAAAAGTAAGTATTTAAACAATACTCTCAACAACTAACTTATCATGGTTTTACTTTCTTGTTTCCATACTGTGTTCAATGGGATTTTGTTAAGACTGTGGGGTCATTGATCACTCTAGCATTATATGTTTCTATAGGTGCTCAATCTTTAGGTGTTCTGTTTTTCATTGTGGGCCACAGTCTGAATCTTTTTAATTTTGTATTTGTATCTTTACCAAAAATTGAATACATTTACAATGTGTTTCCTTTGTTTTCAGAAGAATAACTAAGAAATCATTTGTTCTTAAAGACTGGGCAGTTAAGAGATTTAATTAAACTATTGAGTTTTTCTTTCATTTACTTAATACTTTTTTTTTTTTGAGATGGAGTCTCGCACTGTCGCCCAGGCTGGAGTGCAGTGGTGTGATCTCGGCTCACTGCAACCTACACCTCCCAGGTTCAGATCTCGGCTCACTGCAACCTACACCTCCCAGGTTCAAACAATTCTCCCACCTCAGCCTCCTGAGTAGCTGGGATTATAGGCGTACACCGCTGCACCCGGCTAACATTTATATTTTTAGTAGAGACAGGCTTTCAACATGTTGGCCAGGATGGTCTCAAACTCCTGACCTCAGGTGATCCACCTGCCTCAGCCTCCCAAAGTGCTGGGATTTCAGGTGTGAGCCACTGTGCACCTGGCCTCATTTACTTAGTATTTATATTATTTATTTATTTATTTGTGACACGGAGTCTTGCTCTTTGCCCAGGCTGGAGTACAGTCGTGTGATCTCAGCTCACTGTAAGCTTTGCCTCCTGGCTTCAAGAGATTCTCCTGCCTCAGCCTCCTGAGTAGCTGGGATTACAGGTGTGTAATCCCACCATGCCCATCTAATTTCTGTGTTTGTTAGTAGAGATGGGGTTTCACCATGTTGGCCAGGCTGGTCTCAAACTCCTGACCTCAGGTGATCGGCCCGCCTCGGCCTCCCAAAGTGCTGGGATTACAGATGTGAGCCACTGTGGCCTACCTATATGATTCATTTAGATTGAAGGTAATTTTGTGTATTATAAATTTCGGGACAAGTGGTTTCTAATTGAAATGCTATTTCAATAATGTTTGAGCCTTGTAGGGACTAGAAGAAGTGATTGGAAATAAATTGTGGTTTCAAAGAGGGCAGGAGTTTTGGTTAAGAAGGGATTGTTCGAGGTGATTGTCATCAAAATACAACTGACAGGCATGATTATTTGAGAATGACATGTCTGAGGTATCTTCTGAATCATGTGCTGAAGTGCACAATACTGCTTTTCAGATTCTTTTGAATCTGGAGGCCTGGAGGAAGAAAGAGTCTACATATCTTCAGTTCACTAGGAATACAACATGAAACACAGTTGCAGGGTGGTATGGTTTGGCCCTGTGTCCCCACCCAAATCTCATCTCGACCTGTAATCCCCAGGTGTTGAGGGAGGGAGGTGATTGGATCATGGGGGCAGTTTCCTCCATGTTTTTCTCATGATAGTGAGTTGGTTCTCACAGGATCTTATGATCTTACAAGTGTTTGGAAGTTCCTTCTTTGCACTACTCTCCCCTGCTGCCTTGTGAAGAAGGTGCCTGCTTTCCTTCTGCCATGATTTAAGTTTCCTGAAGCCTCCCCAGCCATGTGGAACTGGGAGTCAATTAAACCTTTGTTTATAAATTACGTAGTCTTGGGTGGTATCCTCATAGCAATGTAAAAACCAATTAATACACAGGGCAAATGCAATTTTCAAGGTTTTTTTTTTTTTTTTTAAATTTTTGAGATGGAATATTGTTCTGTCACCCAGGCTGGAGTGCAGTGGTGTGATCTTGGCTCACTGCAACCTCCGCATCCCGGGTTCAAACAATTCTCCTGCCTCAGCTTCCCGAGTAGCTGGGATTACAGGTGTTCATTACCATGCCCGGCTAATTTTTGTGTTTTTAGTAGAGACGGGGTTTCACCATGTTAGCCAGACTGGTCTCGAGCTCCTGACCTCAAATGTCTGCCTGCCTCAGCCTCCTAAAGTGTTGGGATTACAGGCATGAGCCACGGTGCTTGGCCAATTTTCAATTTTCTAATAGCTACATTAAAAAACAGTAAACAGTTAAAATTAATTTTAATAATATCTCAATATCTAAAATGTTATTTAAGTACATAATCAGTATAAAAAGTATTAACAGGACACCTTAGATTCTTTTTTTTGGGCCCTAAGTCTTCTAAATCCAGTGTGTGTTTTACATCTCTGGCATATCTCAGTTTGATTAGCCACATTTGAAGAGCCGAGTAACCTCTTGTGACCAGTGGCTACTGTATTGGATAGTGCAGGTCTATTGAATTAGTTATAATAAACTCCCTGTTATGAAAGCTGTAGTTTAATTTAAAATCTTCATCATAGGTGATATGCTTTGGGGTTCATGTATCCATGTGTTGCATTCCAATCTTGAAGTAATCATCTATCCTAAGTGGCCACACTCTTAAGAGTGGTTAACTAACATTTGTTGAAGAGGCCACATTCTAGAGGGGTGGAATACTACAAACGGCTCAGCCATCTTTCTCTTTATAAATACTGGTAGCCTTCCTCATTAGCATAATAACTGTTAGAAGTGGGCTATCAGCCAGGTGTGATGGCCCACGCCTGTAATCCCAGGACTTTGGGAGTTCGAGGCCAGTGGATTGCTTGAGGTCAGGAACTTGCGACCAGCCTGGCGAAACCCTGTCTCTACCAAAACAAAACAAAACAAAAAAACCCCCACGAAAATTAGCTGGGTGTGGTGGCGTGCACCTGTAGTTCCAGCTACACAGGAAGCTAAGGTGGGAGAATCACTTGAGCCCAGGAGGTCAGGGCTTCAGTGAGCCATAATTGCACCACTGTACTCCAGACTGCTAGGCTACAGGGCGAGATCCTGTCTCAAAGAAGGAAAAAGAAATGGGCTGTCATTGAGGAAGTTTGTGATATTCGTCGATATTACGTTATTGGCTATTACTTTAGAGAAATTCTCTGCCTTTGTACTATTAGAATATAATGATGTAGTTGGCCTTTAATTCTTTAAGAATAACACTCATGCCCGATCCCTAAATGAATAGTCCTGTGTTCAGCTACTTGTCTGGTGGATTCTTGATGGCTTAGTCTGACAGTATGGTTAACCAAATCAGAATTTTTTTTTTTTTTTTTTTGCCTATGGCGAGCCTTTCTTGCAGTCTTTTGGAGCCTTACAAAGTACGGGGAGTTGAGTTTTCACTGAACTTATCAAGCAGGTTTTATGATTCTTTCTATGTCTTAATAAATGCTTGTATGTACGGACAGAGTTTGGTCTGACTTGCTTTCGTTATAACCTCATAGTGAAGTTACAGAAATAGGTAACTCACCTCCCACATGGGTGACCACTGATAATTCCTAAAAATAAATTAATGTGTGTAACTCTCTGGGTTTAGCACATTTATTTATTTATTTATTTATTTATTTATTTATTTATTTATTTTTGAGATAGAGTCTCGCTCTGTCACCCAGGCTGGAGTGCAGTGGCATGATCTTGGCTCACTGCAACTTCCACCTTCCGGGTTCAAGTGATTCTCCTGCCTCAGCCTCCTGAGTAGCTGGGATTACAGACACACACCACCATATCCAGCTATTTTTTTTTTTTTTTTTTTGTATTTTCAGTAGAGATGGAGTTTCACCATGTTGGCCAGGCTGGTCTCGAACTCCTGACCTCAGGTGATCCACCTGCCTCCACCTCCCAAAATGCTGTGCTTATAGGCATGAGCTACCGTGCCTGGCCCAGGTTTGGCACATTTAAAGAGATCAGAGGGTTAAAGAGTGTAGAAGTGGAATCCCCTTGGAATTTACTAAGCATGTTTCATCATAAATTCTGAAATCAATCCCGCTGCCTGCTATCTTTGCCATCTCCTTTGCTGTGCCCTTGCCTAAGGTAGCTGTGGAGAAACTGTGTTTCCCTCAGTGAGTGATGAATATTCTTTGGCACCTAATCGTGGTACAGGTGCATGTTCAGACTAAATTGGTCGCTTCACCCTTTGCTTGAGGGCTGCACTTAATCAGACCTTTCTCCTTCCCGGATTCCTGCTGTCCTTGTAACCATTCATTAAATATTGACCTGGTCTGTTTATACCTACTGTCCCAAGTGCAAGTAGACTTGGTCTTTGGTGTAATACATATTTGTTAAATAAATTGCTTCTCGTTTGAATCTGTTATTAACTCCTTTCTTATTCCACATTTTATCAGTGACTTACATCATGCGCATCTTATCCAGGTGAAATTTAATCATCACTGAAAATGTTATTTTTTTTTAACTGGAGTTCTAACAAGCTAACTGGTTGTCTTATGTACGTTCATGAGAATAAGGAAGATTTAACTTATGGTAACTGCTTAGATAAAGACCATTAAGTTTCAACTGGCCTTAAATTAATGTGAGCCAGTACAGTACTATGTTGTTCCTTTCACACTAATGTGAGCTTCTGGGCTCAGTGGCTTACGCCTACAGTCCCTGCGCTTTGGGAGGCCGAGACACGGGATTCCTTGAGACCAAGAGTTCCATACCAACCTGGGTAACAGAGCAAAACTCCATCTCTTAAAAAAAAAAAGTGATCTTAGGTGTTATTAATAACATAGTGTTTAGAACTTGCATTGTTATTCTCTGATCACGTTATGTCATGGTATGTTCTGACATGAATACCTGGATGTGAACTCTCTGACTTTACCACTAGTGAACTTTGTAAGTGATTTAAGGCAAATGATTTAGCCTCATCAAGCCTTAGTTTTCTTATTTGTAAAATGGAGATATTATCAGAACTGACTTCATGGGATTATTATGCTAAATATTGTCCTCATAGCCATTACCTGATAGATGAAATAATGCACAGAAGGGATTCATCACAATGCCTGCTGTATACAAAACGTGTCCTAAATGTCGGCTGCTTAATGTCCTTAACTGAATTTTGTGCATTTGGAAACTGAGACTCAAAATCCATGGATGGTGAGTAACTGGGTGTAAACTCATGTCTGTCCTTTTCCAGAGCTAGTGGACTTACCCATTGTGCTATGCCCTTTCTCAGAAGAGTGGGGCAGGTGACCCAGTGTCCAGAGTTCTGCCGTCATTCCAACAAGCACGCAGTGCAGGGCCAGCTCAGCCCTCTTGGTGTCTGAATGGAGTGTGGTGCTAGCTGTGGAGTTAGAGCCCGGTAGAGAGCATCTAAACCTGGGGAAGGGAAAGGAAGAAGGAGGGGTAGAGAGACAGTGGATTAAGAGAAAAATAACAACAACAACAACAACAAAAATCCTTAGGAAATCTTTTACTTTAGATGACATCATTAGTACAGTTGTAGAGCAGCTACTGCCAAAGTTCTTCGTTATCTGTTCTGGTACCTGAAATCTCCTCTGTCTTCAAGGATCCAGGATCCTAACTTATAGTTGTCTTTTTCTGAGTGTCTTCAGGGTGCCTTATGAGTGACTCTCCACATACAGGATCAAGTCCCAGTTCCTTGAATGGCATATGAGTCCTTCTATCATCTGGACTGTTTTTATCCTAGCTTTATTTGCTACAGCTCTCCTAAGCATACCATGCGCTTGAGTCATGTTGAGAATTCCTTGTAGTTCTTTAGTGCTACCCTCTTCTTCCAGCGTCACAACCTTTACACATGCTGTTCATGCGCTCCCTTCTCTGTGTGTAGCATCCTGCACGCAGCCTTACTAGTGCACTTAACACAATTCGTTGTGTTTGTGCCATATTTTACTTTGAAGTTGCCAAATGCACTTGATATTTACCTGTGATTGTTGATGCACAGGGGCAGTTTTAGTTGGTTTTAATTGATTTGTATGCATATTCTGTTACAGGCATAGCCTACCTGGAAGAATATATTGGAGACCAGTAACAGTGGTTGCCTTTTGGGCAGGGACTTGGGTGTTTCTTCAGTGTATCCCCTTTTGTACTTTAAAAATTCTGAACTGTGATTTATTTAAAAGAAAATGTTAGGTATGGAAGATTAATTGATATGGTTAGCTTTATTGAGTTTTATGCGCTAATTGGTAATACGTTAATAGCCCTTAGCAGAGAAGATGTGTCAGGTGCAGGTATTTGTTTTGATATAGCTTTTCCCCAGTTAGACGGATAAGAGCACACTCCTAAATTCATAACAGTCTGGCATGTAGCCCAAAGGGGTGAAGAACAGTAGCCATAGCTAATGCTGAAGGAATATATATTACATGCTAGACGTTATTCTAAACACTTTAAGGGTGTTAATTAATATCATTCTCACAACCTCTTGTGGCAGGTGCTGTTTTTACCCTTATTTTACATACCAGGAAATGAGAGGCAAGAGGGATGACTTGTTCATAGCAGGACACACAGGAGGAGAACATAGAGTGCTGGGAGTTCAGCCTGGGTGGTTTGGCTGCAGACTGACTCGTAATGACCGTTCTGCTGCTTGAACAGAAATTAGAATGGGGATTCCTTTTTTTTTTTTTGAGACGGAGTCTCGCTGTCGCCCAGGCTGGAGTGCAGTGGCCGGATCTCAGCTCACTGCAAGCTCCGCCTCCCAGGTTTACGCCATTCTCCTGCCTCAGCCTCCCGAGTAGCTGGGACTACAGGTGCCCGCCACCTCGCCCGGCTAGTTTTTTGTATATTTTTAGTAGAGACGGGGTTTCACTGGGTTAGCCAGGATGGTCTCGATCTCCTGACTTCGTGATCCGCCCGTCTCGGCCTCCCAAAGTGCTGGGATTACAGGCTTGGGCCACCGCGCCTGGCCAGAATGGGGATTCTTACTTAATTCTTCCCGTGTTATGATTTGTTATATTTGCTGTAACAGTTGTTTAATATATAATTTCTAGGAGTGGTGTTTATGGTGATTATCAGAGATAGTCTGTTTCACAGTTAATATTAACATCACATTTTAAAACCCATTTAAGAAAGTGTAAACATTGTTTTCTCAGGATATGCTTACTGCTTAAGAGGGATTTACCATGACCATTTAAATACAGAAAGGTAGATGATTTTGCATTCTCAGACCTGAGGTGTGAGCAAGGCTCTGAGTGGCTTAGTGTTTTATCAAATTAGAAGTTTACCTATTTTTTAAGGCAGGGGCTTGCCTCAGGTTGGTGGAGTTGAGACATATATGATGTAAAGATTAAACCAAGACCTAGAAAGCTTTTTTCACTTCTGAGATTTCTAGACTTTTTCCTGTATGTTAAAATACTGCTGTAGGCCGGGTGTGGTGGCTCAGGTTTGTAATCCCAGCACTTTGGGAGGCTGAGGCAGGCAAATCACCTGAGGTCAGGAGTTCGAGGCCAGCCTGGCCAAGATGGGGAAACCCCATCTCTACTAAAAATACAAAGAAATTAGCCGGGCGTGGTGGCATGCACCTGTAATCCCAGCTATCAGGAGGCTGAGGCAGGAGAATATCTTGAACCTGGGAGGCGGAGGTTACGATGAGCTGAGATCGCACCACTGCCCTCCAGCCTGGGTGACAAAGTGAGACTCCATCTCAAAAAACAAACAAACAAACAAACTGCTCTAAGTTATATAAGAGTACTTTTTAAAAGATCATATATAACTCTAAGTCTTCTTTTAGAAATATAACTAACACTTTTTTTCTGTAGTTTCATTGAACTTAAAAGCAGTTCACAAATCCAGAAATTACCATGTGCTAATATGTATAACATCCAAATTACTTGGAATGGTGTGTTTTTAAAAACGATTAGTCTGTACAATTTTAGAGTAGGAAGAAAACCTTACTAAATAGCTTTCCTTTGGAGTGCTGCCAGTTTATGTGGAAATCAAGGCCTACAGAGATTGATTTGCTTAAAGTTAAATAGGTCATTAGTGGCAAAGCTGGACTTGGGTTTAGGTCTCTAGATAAACACAGGATATACAGCTTCTCTACTATTTGGTCTCGGCTGCTTCAAAATTTGGTGGTTATTCAAACTTAACATTGTATTCAAATGGTGTAATCTGCTTAGCCTGGGCGTTTTTGGATATAAGCACAATTGGTACCTATTTTGAGTTACTGAAAATATGCCCTGTCCCAACAGAGATGGCAGATAAATTATTCTTACTTAGTATCAGACTTTCCTTTGAAAACAACTCATGACACTTAGAATTTCCGAGAATTTAGAAAATAAATTGTCAAGTAATTTTGGCCAAAGTGTTTTTTTTTTTTTTGGAGACGGAGTCTTGCTCTGTCACCCAGGCTGGAGTGCAGTGGCACAATTTTAGCTCACTGCAAGCTCCACCTCCCGTGTTCAAGCGATTCCTGCCTCAGCCTCCCAAGTAGCTGAGATTACTTGGAATTACCAGCACTTGGGATTACAGGCATGCACCACCATGTCAGGCTAATTTTTGTATTTTAATTTATTATTATTATTATTATTATTATTATTATTATTTTTTAGAGACGGAGTCTTGCTCTGTCGCCCGGGCTGGAGTGCAGTGGCCGGATCTCAGCTCACTGCAAGCTCCGCCTCCCGGGTTTACGCCATTCTCCTGCCTCAGCCTCCGGAGTAGCTGGGACTACAGGCGCCCGCCACCTCGCCCGGCTAGTTTTTTGTATTTTTAGTAGAGACGGGGTTTCACCGTGTTAGCCAGGATGGTCTCGATCTCCTGACCTCGTGATCCGCCCGTCTCGGCCTCCCAAAGTGCTGGGATTACAGGCTTGAGCCACCGCGCCCGGCCTAATTTATTATTTATTTATTTATTTATTTATTTTGAGACGGAGACTTGCTTTGTCTCCAGGCAGGAGTGCAGTGGCGCGATCTTGGCTCACTGCGGTCTCCACCTCCCGGGTTCATGCCATTCTCCTGCCTCAGCCTCCCGAGTAGCTGGGATTACAGGCGTACACCACTAGACCCAGCTAATTTTTTTGTTTTTATGTTTTTTGTATTTTTAGTAGAGATGGGGTTTCACCATATTGGCCAGGATGGTCTTGATCTCCTGACCTCATGATCCACCCACCTCGGCCTCCCAAAGTTCTGGGATTACAGGCGTGAGCCACTGTGCCTATCCTTTTTGTATTTTTAGTAGAGACGGGGTTTCACCATGTTGGTCAGACTGGTCTCGAACTCCTGACCTCGTGATCCACCTGCCTCAGCCTCCCAAAGTGCTGGGATTACAGGCATGAGCCACTGCGCCCGGGCTTGACCAAAGTCTGTTAGTATCTGAAATATCATTTGAAGATTTTCTTTTGGCTAGAGAATTGATAAATACTCCCATTGTGAATACATGCACCTACTATGCTTTAACAAAGTAATTATAGAACCCGATCATATCAGATGAATTTTGTAGTTCCCTGGTTGTAAATGATTATACTATTTAATAACCTATTTTAATATTACCCTAAGTATTTATAGTACATTTAATATTACTCTAAAAAATATAGTATTTAATGTTACTCTAAGAAGTAATGTTTTTTAGGATTATATTCAGTGTTAATGTTGGAAAAAGTTGGTGTTTTTTGGTCCCAAAGTCAGAGTAGCAATTTCTAATGAATGTGTTTTTTCTCTCTTCAGACTTTTGATAAAATTCTTATTGCTAATAGAGGAGAAATTGCATGTCGGGTGAGTAGAATTTTCATCTTATTTTCCATTTTACTCTATGAAATTATTTATTATTAAACCCCTTTAAGTGTGAATCACTATTAATAGACATTAATATATTTTAAAATAGGTTATTAAAACTTGCAAGAAGATGGGCATTAAGACAGTTGCCATCCACAGTGATGTTGATGCTAGTTCTGTAAGTAAATTTTTGCTTTGTTTAAATCAGGACTTAATTTTGGGTCAAGTAGAAAAAGTGAGACATACAGACTTTTTTTCTTGGCCTGCAAAAGATATATTCAAATTTAAAAACTGTTTACTTGTTCACTGTTGTGTTAAGCAAAATGACATTATCACAGTATCTTCTATATGTGCCTTAAGTATTTTCTTTTCACAGCTTTAAAAACTTAGACTGAAAAATTGCCAGGCTGATTGCTGGTCACCAAGTAGATTTAAGCAAAGCATGAGAAAGTTTGAGTCAAAGATTAATGAAATGTTTACACAATGCTCCCTTATGAGAGCCCTTTCCCCAGCATAACTTCAGTATCACTAAGGGAATGCTACAATTGTTTCACCTTTCCGAAATGCTTCAACATGTTCAGCTGAAAGTTTGACAAAAATGAAAAACAGGTTAATGCTAATTGGATACGAACAAAAGAAGGTTTAGCATAAAGCAGATATACTTCTATTTGGTACTTTTAACACAGCAGGCCTTTATTTATTTATTTATTTATTTGTTTATTTATTTATTTATTTGAGACAGAGTCTTGATCTGTCTTCCAGGCTGGAGTGCAGTGGCGTGATCTCACTTCACTACAACCTCCGCCTCCTGGGTTCAAGTGATTCTCCCGCCTCAGCCTGCTGAGTAGCTGGGATTACAGGCACCTGCCGTCATGCCTGGCTAATTTTTGTATTCTCAGCCTCCTGAGTAGCTGGGATTACAGGCACTTGCCGTCATGCCTGGCTAATTTTTGTATTTTTGTAGAGACAGGGTTTCACCATGTTGACCAGGCTGGTGTTGAACTCCTGACGTTAGGTGATCCGCCTGCCCTGGCCTCCCAAAGTTCTAGGATTACAGGCTTGAGCCACCACACCTGGCCCACAGCAGGGATTTTTTTAGTAGTAGTGTTATGAATGAGTAGAAAAAAATACCCTGGGGAAAGAATGTAAATTATTAGGTCTTTATGGCATGAAATATAAGTAGTTGAATACTAATGCAAGCATTGTTTCTCATTGTCTCACACTACTTTTGATAATGGCACCCTTTGGTAGGGTCCATCTCTTAATGACAGGGATATGTTCTGAGAAATGCATCGTTAGATGAGTTCAATATTATGTGACTATCACAGAATGTACTTACGCAAACCTTGATGATATAGCCTAGTACACACCTATATGGTATAGCCTGTTCCTCCTGTGCTACAAACCTGTACAGCATGTGACTGTACTAAATACTGTGGGCAATTGTAACACAATGGTGTTTGTGTATATAAGCGTATCTAAACACAGAAAAGGTACAGTAAAAATGTAGTATAAAAGATAAAAAAGGGTACACTTCTATAGGGCACTTATTGTGGATGGAGCTTGTAGGACTGGAAGCTGGTCTGGGTGAGTCTGGGAGTGAGCGAAGGCTTAGGACATTACTGTCACTATTGTAGACTTCATAAACACTGTACACTTAGGCTACACTACATTTATAGAAAAATAGTTTTCTTTCTTCAATAATAAATTAACCTTAGCATACCATACCTTTTTTACATTGTAAACTTTTAAATTTTGTCTTTACTCTTTGACTCTTTTTTTTTTTTTTTGAGACAGAGTCTTGCTCTGTCAGCCAGGCTAGAGTGCAGTGGCGCATTCTTGGCTCACTGCATCCTCCGTCTCCAGGGTTCAAGCGATTCTCCTGCCTCATCCTCTCAAGTAGCTGGGATTACAGGCATGTGCCACCACGCTCGGCTAATTTTTGTATTTTTAGTAGAGACGGGGTTTCACCATGTTGGCCAGGCTGGTCTTGAACTCCTGACCTCAGGTAATCCGCCCACCTCAGCCTCCCAAAGTGTTGGGATTACAGGCGTGAGCCACCACGCCCGGGTTTACTCTTTGACTCTTTCATAATAAAACAGCATAAAATGCAAACATTGTACAACTGTACAAAAATGTTTTCTTTATATCCTTGTTTTATAAGCTTTTTTCTGTTTTTAAAGTTTTTTATTTTTCATTTATTTTTTACTTTTTGAACTTTTTTGGTAAAAGCAAAGACTCAAATGCACACATTAGCCTAGACCTGCACAGGATCAGGCTTATCAAGACATCAGTAGGCACGAGATGACATTAAGTTAGAAAGCTTCTACACAGCCAAGGAAGCAACAAAATGAAGAGACAATCCACAGAATGGGAGAAAATATTTGCAAACTACCCATCTGATGAGGGATTAGTAACCAGAATGTATAAGGAGCTCAAACAACTCTATAGGAAAAAAAATCTAATAATTTGATTAAAAAATGGACAAAAAGGCCAGGTGCCGTGGTTCACGCCTGTAATCCCAGCACTTTGGGATGCTGAGCGGGCAGATCACTTGAGATCAGGAGTTCGAGACTTAGAATAAATAAATGCATGTTTAATCAGCCTGGCCAACATGGTGAAACCCTGTCTCTACTAAAAATACAAAAATTAGCCGGGTGTGGTGGCACACATCTGTAGTCCCAGCTACTTGGAGGCCAGGGCAGGAAGCTTGAACCTGGGAGGTGGAGGTTGCCAAGATTGTGAGCAAAGATTGTGCCACTGCACTCTAGCCCGGGTGACCAGGCGAGACTGTCCAAAGGAAAAAAAAGGGGGGCAAAAGATCTGAATAGGCATTTTTCAAAAGAAGACATACAAATCACAAACAGATATATGTAAAGGTGCTCGACAGTATTCATTGCGGAAATGCAAATCAGAAGTACAATGAGATATCTCACCCCGGTTAAAACGGCTTTTATCCAAAAGACATAACGAGTACTGTCGAGGATGTAGAGACGGTACTCTGCATCCCACCTCATACACTCTTGGTGGGAATGTAAATTACTACAACCACTATAAAGAACAGTGTGGAGGTTCCTCAGAAAACTAAAACTATCATATGATCCAGCTGCTAGATGTACATCTGTTGCTAGGGGTACACCTAGCACCTGGGAAATCAGTATATGGAGGAGATATCTGCACTCCCATGTTTATTGTAGCATTTTTCACAATAGCCAAGATTTGGAGGCACCTTAAGTGTCCATCAATAGATGAATGGATAAAGAAAATGTGGTACATATGTATGGTACCATTCAGCCATAAAAATGAATAAGATCTTGTCATTTGCAATCACAGGGATGGAACTGGTGGAGGACATTATGTTAAGTGAAATAAGCCAGGCACAGAAAGACAAGTTTTGCATGTACTCCCTCATTTGTGGGAGCTAGAAATGCAAACAATGGGACTCATAGACAGAGAGAGTAGATGGATGGTTACCAGAGGTTAGGCAGGGTGTATGGAGCAGAGGGGTGGGGATGATTAATGGGTACAAGAATATAGTTAGATAGAATAAATAAGATCTTGCATTTGATGGCACAACAGGGGACTACAGTCTGCAGTAATTTGTGGTACATTTTAGAATAATTTAGGGAATAGAATTGGGATGCTTGTAACACAAATAAATGAATGATTGAGATGATGGCTACCCCATTTATCCTGATGTGATTATTATACATTGTATGCTTGTATCAAAATATTTCATGTACTCCATAAATACATATACCTCCTTTATACCCACAAAAATAAAAAAAGACATCACTAGGCAAATAGGAATTTTTCAGCTGCATTATTGGAGCTGAAATGTACATGCAGTACATTGCTGACCAAAATGTCATATGGCATATGACTGTATTCTGATCTACAGGTAGACGTTTCAGACTTTCACTTTTGCAAAAGTGTTTCAAAAGAATTGTTGTTATGTTTTTCTCGTTCGTACCTTCCCTGAAGCACATGTGGTAGTTTTATGTTTTAGAGACTTTTCACCACTTCTGGCTGAAAATAGAATATACCAGAGATTATGATACATAATTTATAATGAAATTTACCAGACCCCATAATGGAAGCAATTGCACACTCAATCAAAACTTTCTCTTACTATGACCTACTTTAAGTCTGTTTCTAGAAAGACACCATAAGTAAAAGCAGGATAATGATGGTTGGAATGTCAAAAGTTTCATTTAAACCTCAACAGTAGGGTCAAATCTGCTATGTGGTTTCTGTTTCAGTCTCAAGGATGTGAACTGAGACTGAAAAGGTGAATTTCTGTAACAGCATTTTTTGCTTCCTCAGCACATGATCACAAAGGTTACTATTATAGCTAATCAGCTTTATAGTATCAGTAATATGAACAAGCCATGCTATTCAGATGTATTTGCATGTTTGTTTTCAAGAGGTGAGCATTTTAAATGTAACTTGGAGTAAAAAACCTTATAGACTTTGCATGTTAATTTCATGTGTGGAAATGTAAATACTATTCCAGTAGGAAAATACTGCAACAATTGATTGCGAAAGCTATTCATTGTTTATTATAAACAACGAATTGTTAAGGTAATTATGCAAGGAAAAGGATGAATGGATACTACACATATTAACTGATAAGTCACACAAGGAAGGAAAGCCAGCTAACTTGCAAACAATTAATGTTTGATGGAAAAATGTTGGCTTTTAGAGATGATTATGCAGTTTACCTCTGTTGGTCCTTTCCCGCCAACGTGTTCTTCAAAATTGTTTTCAGGATTCTTGGTCCTTCACTCTTCCATGTGAATTTTAGGATGAGCTGGTTAAATTACCCCCTTCCCCAATTTTTGGCTACCATGAACAAGATTTTTATAAGTATAACTTTTGCATGTCTTTTTGTGAACATAATTTTGATTTTTTTGGAGTAAATATCTAGGAGTGGAGTAGCTGGGTCTTGGGGTAGATAAGGAGTTGGCAACCTTTTTTTGTTTGAAAATAAATATATTTTTGTCTGGATAGCAAATGTATTTTAGATTTTGCAGGTCCCTGTGGTCTCTGTTACATATGCTTCTTTTTGTTTTGTTTTGTTTTAACAACACTTTAAAAATGTGAAAACTATTGTTAGCTTGAGAGCTGTGCAAAAACAGCCCTTGGATCAGATTTGGCCTGTGGGTAGACAGTATT